CTAGTATACAGAGTGTGACAGTATAAATGAAAAAAAAAAGAAAATTAAATATGTCCATTTATGTTCAGTTATTACCTAATAATGAAATGTGTACCGGTTATTAGGTATTTTTTCAAAAATGATAAATTACAACTATAAGACCTCCTTTTCGATTTTTTTTTAAAATTGTGGTCGTTAAATAATTTTTTTTGCTGAATCAAAATCTTGAAAATTTACCCATATCAGAAGTTCAAAATGAATGAACATATAAAGATTAAAGGCATACATTTTTTCATAAGCATTTTAAATTCAAATTTTGACAAAATCCATCATAATCGCTCAAACATAATCAAATTATTTTGTATTTAAAAATGTATATAATGTTCAACTTTTATAGATAAGAACTAAAAGTTCAAAACAAGGTTAAAATATATTTTATAAATATAAGTTATACCTATCTATTTAACTATTGCAAATAATAGGTAACAACTAGGCAACAAAAAACAGCGGTAAAACAGAAATATTTACACAATACCAGTTTTGAATTAAATTTACCTAATATTTTTGTTGTAATTAAAATCATAATCAAATACTTAAAGTACCTACATAAATTTTTTATAGACCTGATATTATAATGTCTAAAATATTTTAAATTGTTTAGAGTCTGCATTGATACCTATAAATAATTACCTTATTTTAAATAATTATTTATAAGTAATATTAACGCAGGTAAAACAGAAACTAACTGCAACTATAACTTAGCATAACTACGACCTGCAGCCACATCTTAATTGGTTGACGAAATCACTTCACATGTGAAACTTAGTGTGCTAAGTACTGTGTTAGACTGTTGACAGCTATTTTAAGTCGAGGAAAAATAATTAAATTAATTGAAAACATTACTTTACTTTAAACACTATATATAAATACCAAAATTCAAAAAAGTTAAAGACTTATTGGATACAATTATTAAAACAATATTCACTGTCGAAATATTACAATATAAATAAACTAAATCTATTCGATTAAACATTCACACAGTGTATAATAATAATCGTTGTCAACAATAAACAATATACTAGTCACCCCAGCTTCCTATTATAATAATAATAATATTTGTAGCCAGCAGTTAACCTAACCTAACCTATTATTATATTACACATAATATTATATTTATTTTTTATGTACTAGCCACCACAGCATAATATTATCAATTTTTTGTACGACAGAGTTTTTTTTTTTTTTATTGATCTTAAATTCATCGACATCTAGGTCATTATGCGTCATAATAATATAATAATAATTATAAATATAAATATATAACGTCACTGAAGTTATTGACAATAGTAGGTAGGTAATATTGGTAATAGGTATTGAGTATATTATGTGGAAAGGACAGAAAATGAGTTATTTCAGTCGTAGGCGACGCACAGTGGTCTGAAATCGAATTTTAGGCGAAAAAAAGTGAAAGAAAATTGTTTGCTCGTCATGCAGGGAGGTTATAATATGAATATAACTTATAAGATGTTGCCCACGATGTAAATAACCTAAAGTTTATGTTTTGTAAGGACCGTGGCATATAGTTTTCAGTGTTGCCCCAATTACTTATTCGAGAGGGGGTAACATTTATTTTACCCCCAATGATTTTTTGACATCATACAGCATACATTTTATACATACATTTATCTAGTTAAGTCTCAACACAAATTAATGTGACTTTCTGGTAAGGTTTGCTTTTAACTTTTCTTTGGTAGACAGTCGAAAATTTTTTAATTTTCTTAATTTTAAATGAATTTTGTTTAAGTTTCAACTTTAGACCCATATTGAAAATAATATATTGTGGATCTGTGTTCAACTTGACCGAGAGAGAAAATTATTTATCGATGATAATTAAAAATAAAAATGTTTAATGCTCAAAAAGAGTCTATATATTTTGAATATCTTGTAGGAAATATCTTTCAGGAAAATTCTTATATATTATATAAACATTTTGTTAAAATATAAAGTTTTTACGGTTAGTCATTTTTGAGTTACAACAGAAAAACACAATCGATTTTGTCGATAACTGGTTTTGTATAAAAATTACTTTTATATTTGTTAATTTTTTTTTTTGTTTTTCACGACGCTTTTGAAAATTACTGGGAACTTTTTTACTTTTGATTTTTGACTCAACAAAGTATCAACTTGATTCACTTCCCTATCAGACAAGATGCTGAAGTAGAAATTTGAAAATAGAATTTATGTTTTAATGGTAAAACTATTAATTAAATTATTAGTTATTGGCTATTTCTAATGTTATCACACAGTACACACTACACGCTGCGACACACTAGGAAGTCATCTTTCTTATATTTGTACAATATCTTTTTACACTTAGGATTACGATTATCCACCAATTTTGGTTGTACACCCACCCCTTAAAATAGGTGTGGCGGCTGCCACACCTAATACATGGGTTCGGCGCCACTGACTACATGCACATACGATACACAGTTAAAAGAACAATAATTAACAGGGTAGTACGTACCTTTATTATTATTTACTATTACTACCTACCTAATACCTATATAATATGGCATACCGCATACGCAAATACACAATAACATTTTCAAAAACTTCAAATTAATTTTAAACTTTCTATAACATGAACCTATTCTCAGAATTCTACACTTCTCACTTCTCAGTACAATTTATAGTAGTAGGTATAGTACATCAGTATTGACCACCGACTAAGATAGTCAATACATCTATATTGATAAGTCTAAGTCCATGGTAGAGACATATTATAAGGAATTAGGAGCTAGTGCCTACTGCATAAAAGTATTGCAGGCGGTATAAACCTATAGTACCTATTATTATTTATTTGTTATAAGTAGGTTTTTTTTTCTATGAGTAATGAGTATACTGATATAGGTACCTAATATTTTAATAATTATAATAGGTACTACATAATGTCTAATATTGACATAAATATAAAATAAAAATATATCCTTATAATTGTATTTATAAATATAGGCTGACCGAGCGGAGACAGGGTCGGATTTTATTTTCTGTATACACACGGACTATATTTCATATTATAGTCTGGCGTAACTAGGGGGGGAGGTTCGGAGGGCAGCCACCCTAACTGTAAGGTCTAGTAAAGCCCATGGCCTATGGCTATGCTACCAATAAGTAATAAAATAACTATCAAATCAAATTGAATAATATAATATGTATATATTCAGTACATGGTTATAAGTTATAACTTATAACTGATAAAGCATGAACAGAAAATTCACACCAATATAATTTCGAGGCTTTAAGAATTTGTCTTTTTTTTATTATTATTCCCGCCTCCTGGTATTTTTTTATATTTTTGCAAATTATTTCTCTTATCAGATCTGCCCCAAGTTGCAACCACAGACTATGAAATAATATAATAATATAACCTGTGGTATGAGTGATATGCCCCTATCTTTCTGGCGTTCTACGTTCTGGTCTTTCTATTTTCAGGTAAAATATTTTATGCAACACTTTTTTATGGATCATAGCGTTCTGTAAAATTGTGTTCTATTATATTCCATTCTGGAATTATACACCCAGCGGAATGAATATGTGAAGTGTTTGAGTTTTCGCAATAAGCTAAATAAAATTTGATTTTTATATTATTATACTATTATTATCATCTCTATTTTAGACCTATATACAAAATAATAATATTATGTGGACCATACACCTACACATTATATTATTAATTTTTATTATATATTATACGGACTAGATTCAACTAAAAATTGAATTGGACTTTTTTATGCATACAAAAACATTACATTCGCCCTCTCCATTGACCCATAAATCCCCTTATTTGTTTCTTTGGTACTACCCCCAGATTGCATTTAAATATATTATTATTACTCATGACCTCCTCCCTCCATTGGAATTTCCTGGGCACACCACTGTTGTTTTAATTGTTTTTTTTGTGGAGTGAGGAGGTACTATTAGGTAGCTAAAATACTGAATAGATTGTATGAATAAGCCCTCCTTGAGATTACCTAGCCGTAAGCACAAATCTACACAATATATCATATCAATACCTTAAACAGTTATACCTCAGTAGCTTATAACTTATAAGTTTAAAGTGTAAGGTTTATGCATAAATAAAAAATGCAATTCAAATGTTTTTCCACGCAATTATTTTCTAAATATTCTTTACTCCAAGACCATTATGTGCCAATGAATATTTGTTCCAAATGTTTTGTATAATAAATCCTGTGGAACAAATAAATTATGTAACAAACGTTCATCGGAACAATTAATGTAAATGTGAAAAGATATAATTGGATGAAATTTATATGGAAAAAATGTTCATTGGAACAAATGTTTTTCGACAAATAGGTATTGGAACAAATGTATATAGGAACAAAAGTAAAATTTGGAAGTTAATATCATTGGAATAAGTTGACTTGGAACAAAAAATTGTGGAACAAAAGGTAGTGATCCGCTGCAGCTGTAATACTATAATCATGAACATTAGAGGATGTTATGGCTAATGTTCATGACTATAATATACTGCATATAACACGTACTAAGATATAATACGCCCATTAGCCATAGATAATATAAGAATATATATTATCTTATATTATCTATGATAATAGCAAATACTAAAATATAGAATAGTGTAATAATTAATATTTAAAAATATTAAGCTGTTTAGTGTTTACTAAATAGTAAATAGTAAATATTAAATAACTATAAAAAAAAATATTATTATTATTTTTTTTATATAACACTGTTCTATGCTAAAACACAGTATACTGTATACCTTATGGATTATTACCTAAGACTATAGTAAAAGTGTGAAGGTTTGCCGATTGTTGACGAATGACTACTTGACGTGATGGATCACAGATACGTATTACTATTACCAAACAATATTTATAAATATATTGGTTGATAACTTTAATTCAGATTTCAGTGGCTTAATTTTTTTTTAATATATTATTAATTTGCCAACTCCTAATTGTAAATATATTGAAATGGAAAATGAACTAGAAAATATACTTAAAACCGGCATAACAAAATTGAATATATGCATAAATGAAGGCTGTATTAATAATAGTTCCGTTTATCAAACAGAAGCGAATAAATTATTATTTGTTAAAGACAACTCAAAACCAGGGGTATAATTTCTTACTACATTTCTTGATTTGAACTTTAAAAACATTACATTTTTCCAATATATTATTACTTATATATATTAATAATTACAGTCCGATAAGATGTTCAATGGTGAATTAGAAGGCCTTAAAGCAATATGTAGTACAAATACAATTTCGGCTCCTTATCCAATTGCTTCTGGTTGCACCAATAGTGGTCAACATTTTATTGTGATGGACTATTGGAAAATGAGTTCTTTAAATAAGAAATGTTCATCAGAATTAGGTAGTCAATTAGCAGATATGCATATGTTTAACCTACAAGAGACCCAACCACGTATAAACAAATTTGGATTTCATGTTGAAACGTGTTGTGGATTTATACCTCAAAATAATACATGGACTGATGATTGGATTGTATATAAATTAAAAATACATATTTTTTTAAAGTAGTTTTAAAATTCTGTTAATACTATGCAGAAATACTTTACAGACATTCTATACAGAAAATCGTTTGGAGTATCAAATACAATTGCTGCAATCAAATCCTGGAAACAATTTGAAAAAAAAAGTAATTGGCATTTATCTCATATATTAAATTATATAATACATTGTTTTTACATTAATACCGGTACTAATATATAACAGAAAATAATTGAAAATTATTGGCCTCAACTGAAACATATAATTCCAAAATTCTTTGAGGGGATAGAAGTTAAGCCATCGTTACTTCACGGAGACTTGTGGCCAGGAAATACTGCTCAATCAAATTCAAAACCAGGTTAAAAATATATTAATGTGTAATCAATATATACCTAAACTCTGGCCTATGAGGAAAGATCACCAAGTCCTAACTAAAATATATCCAATTCCGCGCATGCATACATATTCAGACTGGTAGATGTCGTAAGTATGCATACATGAATCGGTAATCTTCTCCCGTGACTCAGAGTATAGTATATACTATTTTAATGAATATTTTCACTATTAGTATGATGTGTGTTTATGTAGTGATTTTTGATCCAGCTGCATTTTATGGGCATCATGAATATGATATTGCTTCTATTTCACTATTTGGAGGTATTTCTATAGAGTTTTTTGAAGCATATTTTAAAAAAATTCCAAAATCTAATGGATTTGAAAATAGAAAGTTATTATATCATTTGTTTCATTATTTAAATCATTGGTATGAATATAATATAGTCATATTATTAATTATTAAATGTTACAAATAAATTAATATTTTTCTGTAATTTTTTATTTTTGTTTAGGAATCATTTTGGAGGAAGTTACGTTGACTTAACAATAAACACCTTTGAATCATTGCTCAATGCTTATTAATAGTTTAATTATTTTATATTTATTAAGTCTTGTGGAATCTATTTTTTGTAAAATGCAAATATCAGATACCTAATTTTATTCATACGTATGGCTCAACGTTATAACTAATAAAGTAATAATATTGAAATAGATTACACGCTTTACATATCCTTGAAAGCACATTCCATTTCTTTTTAGCACCTTTAACAACAACAAAACAGTCTAATATTCTTAACGGTATTATTGTTTTTATTTGAAGAACGGCCAACAAGGGCGGTTTTATTTTACCACCGGTCATTTGTTCATTCAAATTAAAAATGTATATACTAACTAGGTAACTATAAAAATCTATAATATTTGGGATGATTCAACAAGCATGCTCAAGGCTCAATCCTTTTTTTTGTCAATAATGCAGTTATTCAAAATCTGATTTTTGAAATTTTGAAATATATTTAGACAATATTTTCAAATTCTTGATTTTTTATACTACCTTAGGAGTGTCCTGTGATGGTAGAAACTTAAGTTTTTCTAATGAGAATCCCCCCCCCCTTTACGGTAAATTAAATAGCAGATAATTTTTTTTGGACATTTTGATGTATCTAATTCAAAATTATAATGAGTAGTTTCTTAGTTATTAAAATGTTTTTACTAAGAATAATAGTCCTTAGGTTTTCCAAAAATATAAAATAGACTTAATATTACAACTAGTATTTATTATTATTTATTATACTTTGGCCATTTTTACAAAATATTATTAATGTTGAATGTTCATAGATTAAATCATCAGTCAAAATGTACAATATAAACTTTTAAAATCTTTTTAAAAATTAAAAAATGTAAAATGTCAGTATGACTATTTACTTAATTTTCATCAGTCTTATATAAGTAAATTATACAGAATGATTCACCAAGCATGCTAACCCCCCTTTTCTTCTTTAATAATAATGCAGTTATTTAAAATCTGATTTTTGGAATCATACTTTTAAATTCTTGAGATTTTTTTGTACTACGTAAGGAGTGTCTTGTGGAAATACAAATTCCTCTTTTAACTGTAAATTATTCAGTGGATAATTTTTCTGAAAAATTTGACTTATCAGAATTAAATTCTGAGTAGTTTTTGAGTTACCTACCTATTTAATTTTGTATTTAAGCAGGTGTGATAACAAGGATAGTAGAAGGCACGGACTAAGATACACAGGACTGGACACGAGATGAATATTGTGGTTACGAAATGTTTTACAACAGGCAGTGTTCGGGGGGATATTTTCCTTTTAGCATTACTAGCGCCGTCTTAGTGGATACTTATGGAACTAGATCACATTATTGTCATCTAGTTCCAAAAGTATCCACTAAGACGGCGCTAGTAATGCTAAAAGGAAAATATCCCCCCGAACACTGCCTGTTGTAAAACATTTCGTAGTCAACCCCCCCACACCCTCCAACCTTGTCGTGTCCAGTCCTGTATATCTTAGTCCGTGGTAGAAGGTGTAGTGATCCCTCACTAACGCTTATATTTTGAGTTCAAAGACGTTGACGGTTGAATAGGAGAAAAAGGTTGCAGAGTGACAAGTTACACAAGTTAGGTATAAGTAATTTTATTAACGTTTAAAAAGTAATTGATCCCAATTAAGTGTAAATAAATTTGAGGACAGAGCGAAAAGCATCTGCCCGAGAAGTTAGTTACTTACAGTATGTACGTAGTGCAAACTCTAAACTAATTCTAATTTTGCTATAGACATCATCTTATATTTATATGAAATCCATGCGGATATAAACGTACACGGTAGAGTCTAGGAGATGGATATTTGAAAGGAGCCGGAGCTAGATGTTGTTGTTGCCAAAAGACCTGAACTATAAACAATTTAATAGTTTGTTTCTGCGTAAAACTATTAACAATTTAATGTTAATGTGTTCGCATTATTTTGGCCATGCGAAGATTGAGTGCATTTATAGTCTTGTTTTGCGTAAAACTATTAACAATTTAATGTTTTCGCATTATTTTGGCCATGCGAAGATTGAGTGCATTTATAGTCTTGTTGTTGTCCAGCGTGCTACATCGTGAGAGATGTACTTATAATATTTAATATATAGGAAAGCGACTCCGTCGGTTTACTACAAAGGGATTAAGGGGCCTGAGACCCCACCCCTTTAGTACGCTTTGGGTAGGTACTTCATATATTTTATAGATTACCTTAGTTTTTAGTTTATTAACTGAAGTAAAGAGGTTAGAGGACTAGAGGAGCAATACTTTATACGATTGAGAACGGTCATTATTGGCGATACCTTTCTTAGACCCTTTTGACTATTACGATTGAGAACGCTCAGTTTTTATTTTTCCGCCCAACGTTGCCAAACTTTGCCATATAATAATCGGCTATGGCTATAGCCTATATAAATATACATGACTCTTAGCACTGCTCACATACTATGTGGCAGGGATAAACGTCTTTAAAACTCAATACTATTCAACAGGGTACTGTTCAAAAGGCATCAAAAGCAGATGAAGAAAAAATTTCAAAAACAATACAGTCTTATATTAACTACTGTCAAAAAAAATCTTCTGAAGGATTAGTAAAATATTTAACACATATGGGAAATTTATATAGGGGAATTAAATTGTAAATTATTTTTAAATGTTTGTATTATTGGTAGGTACCAATAATACAAATTTTTTTAAAAATTATGACATTTTTAAAATTTATAATTTTTAATTATTTAATTCAATGTTTTATTTCATTTTTATTTTGACTTGAATATAGTTCGGCAACGTTGCACTTAATTTCGTTCTCAATAGTACTGTTTTATTGGGTCAGCGGTTATTTCATTGTTCCATTTCGAGTGATCTCAATCGTACTCTAAAAAAGGTCGAACGTTCTCAATCGTATTACAGCCCTTTATACTATACTAAAAAAAGTAAAAACATATTATATTATATAATATATTGCTTATTGACATTTAGGAGTAATTATTGATAGTCGTATCTTTTTTCATCTAGTCCCACCCCTTTATTTATTTCCAGTCTCCAGATCCATGCCTGGATCTAAGGACAAAAGGTACATGGTAATGGGTTTAAAAGATATGCGGTCTTTGATGAATGATGATTTGAAAATTTTTGACATTAATGTTAAGATACCGGGGGGACCAATCGTCCTACTTTAAAAATTGACGGGGAACAACTAACAAGTCGTTCATTTTTATGGTGGCAAAACGACCGTGATTCGAACATTCGTGATTTGCTTTGTTATTTTCACGGACTACTACACTGGACTGGAAACGTCGGGTGAGGCGGGTGACGGGGGCCGGCCCGCTTAGTGTCCGCGAGAGAGGTGTAGAAAGGGGAAAAGTACGTGAGCTAATCTAGAGCAGCCTGGCTTACCACAGGCATACTACCTATTCCTTAGGTAGTAGGAATGCATTTGGTAAATGGTTTATCATTGAAGTATAGATGGCGCCAGATTAGCTCATGTACGATTCCCCCTCGTACACCTCTCTCGCGGACACTAAGAGGCCCGGCGGTAAACGTCTCGTTTCCAGTCCAGTGTAGTTGTCCGTGGTTATTTTATTATCATTTCTTGGTTTTTGCTCTTATCAGTTTTCCAATTTACCCACGTGCGTCGCCGACTGATCAAAACAAATAACCTTAAACAGTAAATAGTAATAAGCACTTAACAGTAAACAATATTCAGTATTGACTATTTGACTATTCTAGTATTCCGTACTCCCAGACACCTTCAAAGGCCAACTTACAATTTCAAAATGACTGCAGATACAAGTGTCGCAAGCTTGTCCGATCCGACCAACAAAAAAGTTTCGTACTCCACGAGGATCAAATATCTTAACGAAATTGCCAAGCCTCTGGCCACTAAGGCGCTTACCAAAAAGATTTATAAACTCGTTAAGAAAGGTTTGTACCAATTAAAATAATCAACAATAAAACAAAAATCCATCGTTAATCATTATTAAGTAGTCCCGACGATAGTTTTATCTTACTAAGTATCATAATAGTAACTATACCTTACACACGGTTTTAAGAGAGTGTGATGCTTGTATGACTTGTTTCAGTAGAGCAATCTTACGACATGACAAATTTGATTTCGGCTCAATCAATTTTATATTGTTCTAATATTACAGTAAACGCACTTATTATTAAATTTAATGGTATGTTTGTGTTTTACTGGAGACGCCCTTGTTTTTGCAGTTTAGCTTGCTGAAAACGATTATAAAGTCAGATTTTGGCAGTTGGATTAGTTTTGAAGTGCGAGATCTTCCCAAGGTGGTTTTACATAACAAGTTGAATGATGTTTTTGATTTTAATTGTTTGAGTGAGTGAGTGATTACACTTGATGTACCTATATGAGTTTCGCTTAATGTGATCACTGGTTTATTGGAATCAAAAATGATAAACCCAAAAATCAAATTGTTATGTTACAAACAGCGGCATATCCATGGGGGGAGTAGGGGGTTGTAAGTTAATATTTACCTGACCTTTTATTAGAAATTAGAAACTCTATGTGCTCTATAATTACTATACTTATAAATTATTGATTTTGTGACTTTTCAAACTGATTATGTCAAGAGACCAACAGGTAGGTATTAGGTATAATTAAATTTTATTTTTAAACTTATCGGTGTATCGATACACATCCTGTTGTTTAGTATAGTTATTGTGGTTACTGTTCAAAAATTGTTCTTACATTTCGCCTAGCAAATAGAAAGATTTATATACACCTAAAAGAAAAAAAAAGTTTACCATTTTGATAATTTGGAAAAATGTTCGTAGAGAGAAGACACTTTAATTTTAATAACTCCCCAGCTTATATTAAGCAACATTTTAAAAATAGTAAGCAAATTTAATAAAATGAGAAAGCAATTTTTCCTCTTTCCCATAAACAGGAACGAAAAGTTACATAATATTATATGGGTTTTATTTCAAATAAGTTCAATTTAAAATCAAATTACAAATCGCTCAAATCCAAATCTAAAAATTGATAGTTGCTTTTCATTATTTTTAATGTATTTTTTTATGCTTTAATTTTATTTGAAGTTTAGGTAGGTAGATACTCAAAATATAAAACTATACAAAAAAAAAAAATTGTTTTAAGGAAACAACTGGTTAATACAATCAATCATCAAAATGACCTACATTAATGTGTTCACATAATTGGAACTCACTATTACACATTTCAATTAGCTATAACTTTAAAAGTAAGGCCAACTACCAAATTCTGACTAATAGAAAGCAGCCCCTGGTTGGGGGTACAGAAAGGATGTGATTTTATTTTTGACTGTTCCCGATTGCATAATACTGTTTTAGCTGCAATCTTCTCTGATTGAATATTTTATTTCAGTTGTGTAATAATTTAATATAAGGTATTACCGTGCATGAAGACTGATGAGAGAGGTAACTTTGCCCCAGTATTATTATAATTCAAAATGTCTACTTGGGACAAAATATACACGCAATGAATGAAAATTGCATGATTGTTTATTTAGGTATAGGTAGGAGCCAGGAGGTACTGAATATCATTTAAAACTAACCTAACTATTAATAAAATCTGAAAATAAAGTGTTATTATCATAGACACAATTAGTGGTGGGGAGCTAATCCCACCTTCAGGAAAAATGTCCCTAGTTCTATTTATCTTAGTGTTTACTCATAATTTCAAAACAAAATTTTTAATTTTTAATCGTTATAACTTTTTGTTTATTTTTTTGAAAGATACCATTCATTTTTATTTCATATTCCTAAGTGGAATATTATTTGAAGTATTTTGATATACAAAACTTTTGGGTAAGTGTTAGTTAAAACTGATCATATAAGCATTTAAAGTTTTGTTGAGCGGAGTAGAGTAGTACAGGGGTACCCCGCAAAATGTTGTCCACTGACCTGCTTGAAAATTAAATAGTAGCTGAATGCTTTAAATTAGTTGTAAAACTATCATAAATACATTGTTTTGAATATGCAGTTTATATTAATTATTACTGAATAATTCATGCATTTGTTATATCTTATAAATAATTACTGACCGTGTATTTTTATTATAGCACATAAAGAAAAGACTTATTTAAGAGTTGGTTTGAAAGAAGTGCAACGAAGAGTCCGAAGAGAAGAAACAGGGTTAGTAATTTTTGCTGGTGATGTTTCACCAATTGATATCATGAGTCATATGCCTGGTGTATGCGAGACAAAAAATCTTCCTTACTGTTATGTGCCTTCACGTGACGACTTGGGTTCATCAATGGGTGTTAAGCGATCTGCAGTCATGGTACTTATCAGAAAACATGAAAGTTATGCAGATTTATATGATGAATGCCAGAGCGAGATCAAAGCTCTGCCCTATGATTTTTAGACTACTGGAATTAAATATCAATTTTTTTATTAACTGAGAATAAGGTTATAAATTATAATTCAATATAATTAAACAAAATATATAATATAAGTATAATTAATTTATCTTTGTAATTATTTAAAAACAAAATTCGTATTAATTCCCATGTATATAATTAATTGGTGGTTGATTATATTAACCACTAATTTGAAAAACGGCCTAATGAAAAGTGTACAAGAGTATTATAAAAGTACATATAACAACAACTCCTCCAACTATAAAGGAATCACGTTTTTTACGCATGTTGATTTTTTGTACAAGGGTGTTGAGAGCAGGAAATCTACTTGACAAATCATGAAGTCTAGATTGTAAACGTTTAAAATGATGCCGTTGCGATACTAAATGTTCTCTGGTCTCCATTGCAATTGCAATCTGGTCGGATACTAAGCGATCTGAATTACGCACATGTTCGTGTTCTTTGACATATAAATCCATACGCCTGTTTTTTGTCCCAGAATTCTTGTAGCCACTGAAAAAAAAAAATTACTTTATGAGCAATTTATTCAGACTAGTACATATAAAATATTATATATTTACTCAATGTCCTGTCGAACACTGTGCAATAAATCTTCCCTTTCTCTTCGAGCTCTAACATTGGATTGTATTTTTTGAAACTCCTTAGTATAATCTTGTAAAATATCTCTGTGACGCTGTACAGTATGCACGTTTTGTGAAACTGTAGATTGTTCCCCATTGGAACTCCATTCGCCCATTTTTTCATTGACAGTATTAAGCTAAAAACCCATGAACAAATAATTGTGTACATTTGTTTAAAGGGAGTTTTACCTTAGAAAGCAGCTCTTCGATTTCAGATGTAGCTGTTTCAAATCGATCATCAGACAACAATAACTGTGATTCATCGTCGCTGTACATCATAGGATTATTAGTACTTATTTTACTTAACGACACCAACATTGAGTCGATTTCTGTTTCCAGCCTTCTGGCTTGTTTCCTCAAATCTGAAAATATTAATGATTAAAATGTGTAATACTTTTTTATTATGACAACAGGTGTTAAGAGGAATTTTAAACCCATTTCACAGTTCTTATTCTATCTACCTAGAAAATAAAAACGATTGAATTAAGTAATGTTTTTCATTTAAATTTTTTTCTGTTTGGACTGGTAGATCCTTAAAAACATTGTTTATTTTCTATAGAAAACAACAAAAGCAAGTAGCAACTATATAGTATGGGCATTTTTGCATTAATGAAATCCATCAAAGTGCAATTGGACAGTTACTCAGTTTGTGTTCCGCGTCGTTCGACCACCGAATAAATGACCCTTCGTAAACTAAACGAAACCTAGAGAATTCATATTATATTATTATACCTTCCCATGACGGCGACGACGTCATGTTTCCACTTAGGCACGGCGATCGATAATTTCGGGGAGTATTCGATACTTCATCCGACCAAACGACCCATTCGGTAGGAAGATGGCAAAAGTCGTTGATGTAACTATAAGTAAGTAACGACTAACGAGCTTAGGGAATGCCGAATGCGTCGTATACTCTTATTATGTTATTTATGAAACTGAAAAAATGACTGCGATGTGTGATTCAGTGAATGTGATAATAATAATATGATATCGCAATATTTTACTCGTATTGATAAGATAATCTATAATCGTGCAACCACGATTTAAGATAATATACTTAAATCGTGCGTGCAACCGAGGCGTCCAGGTTTTTGATCTTTCCCTCGACTTGTTAATTGTTATAGGCATAACCAGGACGTCTGTCGCTAGGGCACGAGCATAAAAGTATTTTATAGGTCTATGGGCACGAGCATGTCATGCGTTCCTTTAGGGTGGCATACAGTTTTTAGGAAATTGTAGGCGGAAAAATTAAATAAATATAGGTAAAGAAGAGCAATTGAGCAGCAATAGCATTAAAATGTTCGATTTACCGCGGAAAATATCTAGCGACGGACCTAGGTATAATCAGTTTAACCACCTTATTGAGTCTCGGACTTCAAAAAGCTATAACTTCAAAACTAATTCCGACCGCAAATGCTGACTTAACCATCCGATTCAGCATTCACCTATTATAATCACTACGGTTATTATTTAAGGGGCAACAATCAGGCAATTTCTAATCTCGTTTTAGCCAAAAAAACCTTTAGAGTTAAGCAGAAAAATTTCTGTAGATTATACGAAACACTCAGTTTTTAATTTTAATTATGATTCGAAATAAAGTTTTCATTGCAGTTCACAATAATATAAGATTTAATTTTTACCAAGTTTTCCGTAGTCCGTATGATCTATCATCTATAGACAATTTTCTGTGGAGATCATATTTGTTTTCAGAATCAAAATTAGACAGCGTAATGCATAAACCATTACAAATTTAATTTAATTTGTTATGGCGTAAACTAACTTTAATTCAGTAAAACTTAGGGTATTTTGAGCTAAAATTGAGTCCCCACTAGTCACTACCAAATAAAAAAAAGGGTGTCTAGTTAAATGGAACTATACCGGAATACTGGGTACACTCATTTATAACGCAGTACCCTATACATATTTAGAATTCTGTCTGTCGGAGATTGATGAACCAATAGGAGAGTATCATGTCCTGTAAACAGAATTCAAAAATATTTATAGGGTACTGAGTAATATAGGTAATTTAATTATACTGTGTACCCTGTTTTTGCAGACACACGGAAGGTATATATTATATTCCAGGAGGAAATGTTCTTATGTAAACTATTTTTGTTAGACATAAGATCCTATATGTGTATTGTGCGAGTATAACACGAATTCAACTTCGATCAAAATTTGTGGTTTCACTTACAAATTAAACGTTCATTTTATTTATATTTTATTACCTTGCACATGTAAATATAAAATAATAGAAAATAAGTTATAAAGATATAAAAGAAAATTTACAACCTAATTAAAATAATTTTTGTAATAATTAAGTAGCTACATAAACTCAACTCTTAATTATAGTATTTTATATTACACTATGTATTACAGACACGATAGTTTATGATTATACAGCGTTAAATGTTTTTATTTCTAAATGATTTAATAACAACTTAAATAATAGAAAGCATGTTTTATTTACAACAGACGTCCAGCATACTTATAAAATATTTAACAAGTGTCATTATTTTTTATTTATTGACCATACACCTCATTTATTATAGTTATAGAGATTATAAAATTTGTTGAAATAAAAGTTGTAACATTATAAAATTAATGTATCAATTTTAAGTCTAAGCAACTCTCAAGAAATAAAAATGTAAAAATAAATAAGTTGTTGTTTTAAATACAACACAAATTATTCATATTATAGGTCAAATATATCAATGAACAAATGGGTTCAAAATACAGTTCAAGTTGTATAATATATAATATAGAATAAAATATAATTCAATAGGTACTTAAAATAAACAGTTATACAAATGCACATTGAATTGTAATATCTTGTAAACAAACTAATTTATAAAAATTCTAAATATAAATATTTAATTACAGAGTTAAGGCAATAAATATTTTAAATCAAATTTAACCATGTCGCTCACTTAGTTGTTTTTCAAGTTCTTCAATTTTAGCTTTACGATGATGTAACATAATTTTCATCATTTTACTATCCTTCTCAAATTTAGCAATTTTTTCAATCATGCTTTTGTGGTCGGCCACCTAAAAAAATATAGTAATAAGAACGTGAATAAATGGTAATACTGCATAAATCATTCAAAGTAAAAAAAAAAATTTAAGGTTGTTTTAACTTACTATTGCACTACTCACTAAGCTCTGTTCTTCAGCAGTTTGAGTGAATTGGTCCACTCTAGGCGCATTTGTAATTTCTTTCAAACGGCGTAAATCTCTGCGCAACGCATTATTCTATAAAGATATAAATTATATTAAATGTATGGCAAATGACGTACTTTTCATCAATATTGTTAAATAAAAAAAATATGTTCATCTAATAAAGTTTATTACGTTTGCTGTGTATCAATTTTGAATACACATACTAGTGCTGGTCAAAATAACATATTTTTTTTAACAACACCTGTTGGACCCATAACAATTTTATATACAAATTTCACACTCATATCTGATAGTATATCAAATAATTTATTTTTACAATGTTACCTCATCTCTTGCCCTTTTAAAGATATTTTCCAATTCATGATTCTTCTTTTTGAGATCGTCAGTGTTAGTCTTAGAAAACAGTTCTAATGTGGATATTTTTGCATTCTTATCCACAATACATCTATTTAATTGTTGTATGTCTTCCTTTAATGATTTTTCCAAAATTTTAGCAGTCTCTGCCAAAGAAGAAGAAATTGATAAAAACCATAAAAATATAATTTTTTTACTTACGCCTAAATCTTACCTGATAATTTACTGTACTCATTTGATAGTTCCAAGTTTTTAGTTTGAACTTGATTCAATTCATTTTTTAATTTCTTCAGTTCTTTATCATGTTGTACAATAAGCTGACCTTTATCTTTCCTTAGGTCGGATATGTTTTGTTCATAACCAAATATTTCTTCATTTAATTTTTTGACATCATCATTGAAGTTTTTAAATTGTTCACTTTTGCGTTTCAAAAAATCTCTTTCTTCTGTTAATAATACAATGTTTTGCTTAAGCTCATCCAATTGATTCAAAAGTTCTGCTATCTTATCGTCTTTACTCTTTACTTCTTCTAACATAGACTCACATTCATTGTCTAGATCAACATTGGACTGTTTCAATTCATTAATTTCTTCTTCCAAGTCTTCACATTTGGTTATTAATGAACAGACATTATCGTACAGTGTCAATAACGTACCATCGCACTTAAGTTTTTTTCTTAATTTTTCAGTTACATCATTTACTTCTATTAAACTATTGTCATTAATTTTCAATTTAATTCGATAATTTTCAATCTCGTCATCTTTTATCTTTGAACTCTTTGAATAACTTTCTAATTGTTTCTCAAATTCATTATTTTTTACTACTTGAGTTTCGAGTGCATGGACTAGTTTTGAACATTGTTCTTGAGTTTCCTCAAGTTTTGTAGTTTTTACCCTTAAATCTGATTCCAGGCTTTCAAGTTCTATATTCTTTACTTTTAACTCTTTCTCAAGAGTTTCCAATTTGGTATTGCTAATTTTAGTTATTTGACTACCACCTTCCAATTCTGCTATTCGTACAGTATAATTTTCTTGCATACGTTTAATTTTAGATACATTTAATGAGTTCTCTTCAAGTAGTTGTTGGTTATTTTTTTTAATTTCTTTTAGCAACTTTTCTGTACAATACATCTGATGTTTGATATTACTTACATCCAACTCAAGTTCATTAATTATCTTTTCATGATGAATTTTTGTTTCTTCTTTTTGTAAACTATATTTTTCAATCAATGTTTCATACTCAATTGTCTTCAATTGAAATCCATCAAGTAAGTTTTTAATATCTTCATCTTTTTTGTCAATAACAGATTTTAGACAAGCACATTCAGATTGAATTTTAACTATTTTATCTTCCAGACTATAACAACAATCTTTTTGATCTTTGTACATAATTAATGATTCGTTGTATTGTTTGGTTATGTTTTCAAGTTTGTTTTTCAAATCTTGTATAGACAGCTCTGAACTAGTCTTAAATGTTTCAAATTCATTGGACAATGACTGATAATTGTGTTCACTTGTTTTAGTCAGTTGGGTCTTTAATTCTTCCAACTCATTTAGATAATTAAAAGATAAATTCTCTGCTTCCAAAACTTTTTCTGTCAATTCTTTTATTTTTAATTCTTTACAAGGGAAGTTGTGTTTTTGAGATTTGAGATTTTCAAGTTCAAGGCCAAGTTTTTCATTATCATTTTCAACTTGTTCTTGCCATTCTTTTCCTTTTTTTATGTCTTCTTGGAACTGTTTGATTTGATCTTCATATAGTCGTTTCACCTTATTGTGGTCATTAACTAAGTCAGTTACAATTTGTTGTTCTTTAGTCATTATAAGGCTGACAAACATATCCAATAAATTTGACAAATTATGATCGGTAAGAACACCGGTAATTTTTCCAGGTTCAAGAAGATTAATTTCGTTTATAATATTTCTTTTACCGTTTCTCAACTCTGAATCAATATCATAGCTATAACAAATTTGTTCTTTATTAGCCTGATTATGTTCTTCAAGTTTGTTGTATTGTATTTTAAGTTCATTCAATTCATTTTTTAAATTGCTTACCAATGATGTTTTTTCTTTAAGATTGTTTTCTATTAATGTTATTTCACTTTCTTTTTCATCAGATAGTTTCATCATTTTGTCTTGTAATTCATTAATTTGTTCTTTTAGTTCAGCATTTAATAGTTTAATTTGATTCAATTCATCATTTAAATTTCCTACCAATAATGTT